AAACCCATACTAAAACTTACATCTAATTACCATAATCCAACTTAAGCTTTGTTGTAATCTGGTTCAGATTAAAAATCAAGGATAATACGATTAAAAGCCAGCTTTATCATTAAATGTTTTTGACCTTTAAATGGATGCAAATATTTTTCCGATGGTCGGCTCTCATTACATTTCTTGTTCATTTACATACTTGCACTTCACAAACTAGAAAATAAAATGTAATAAAATATATATATAAATCTCTTGTAATGTGTGTAGTTATTCTTGTAATATGATGATCGGATTAGAAACATCATGAAACAGAAAGTTTTAATTCATTATTTAAATTAAAACCTACGACGAACTAAGCAATATAATAGTTTAGGTTTTACAATATTAAATTTGTTTTTTACGGTTCTATCTTATTCAATATAAATACAAATATATATATATATATATATATATATATAATATTTTATTGTATTTTGAAATTCCATATAACATCATCAATAAATGATGCTTTCCAATTGCTGTTAGATGAACCGAGAACATATTTCAATTTTCTTCACCTGTGTCCACAACATTTTCTTCTAATTCTAATGTTAGCTATTTTGTTCTATTTATGTTTGTTTTTCTTTTTAATAATAATCTTTTGTATTCTTTATTAAAGATAAATATTAATATTTTTAAATAGTTTTCATATTGAATAGTTTAATTCAAATCAAGGCAATCATCTACTTCTGTCTGTTTAATATTTTGTAATATTTCTTCAACAATTTATAGGAAACAAAATACGAAATCTAAACCAAAACATTTTTTTCATCTTCTTCTTTTCCAAAAATAAATCGATTTAAATAATTTTCTCTTTAAATAGTGTATTTAAAATTGATGCTCGCTATGTCGTACCATTAATGTTTTGCTTTATGTAGTATTTTTTTAATAATTTGTTAGGAAACCAATCACGAAAACATCAATATTTTAGTTTAATTTTTAACTGCAATATTTTTTATATTTTTCTTTACCAAAGATAAATATTAATCATTTAAGATCATTTACCCACTGACTAGTGCAATTGAATTTTATTTATATTTTCCTAAGACGCTCGTACAAAGTTGTTTTGTATTACAAAGAACAATGAAACAAAACAATAAAACAATTATAATTTTGCATCAGTTGCATCGACATACCGGTTTCGTGTTGCAGAAATGATTGCAGAGATTTGTTTTTGAGAAATCGCTCTTGTACACAGGATTCAGATATAATCTGAAAGACAATTCATTTCGTTAGTATACTCGTACATGTGTGAATGTTAACATTTCCTGTCCACTCTTCTTTTATTTTCTTCAACGGCCAATAAGAAGAACCTTCAAGAAAGGGCTTTATGATCATAATTTTACGGTAGGCGAGCAAAAAGTTGTATTACTTGAAGAAACTCGAAGATGTCGACGAGATATAAAAGTTGATTTTGAATTTTTAAAATAATTATACGATTGTAAATATTTTATAAATATATAATATGATATAAATTATATTAGAAGTATCTCATCAATTATCTTACAAGTTGAAATATTTTTAACTGTTGAGAATTGGACATTTTATTTTATTACTTTGTCTGAGGAGACATAGTTTCAATAGTTGTTGTTCTCAATACAATTTATAACAATTAATGGAATTAATAACATTTCCACAAAGGGGCATTTTATAAACAAATATATAAAAATTAAAAATTTTATTTGCGATTTATTTTATAGTATTTTATTGTCTGATTTTACTTCCAATTCTCAAGTTTTTGAGATTTTTTAAATTATTTATGTAAAATCATACTATATATGCATTATTTTTATCTGAATATTATTCAAATATACAGTTTTTGATATTTTATGTAAAACATGAATAGCTGAGTTTAAATTGGCGCTTATACTAAATTTAGAAAAACAATGAAAATAAATCATATAACATGTTCATATATAAATCATCAAAGCAAATTATGGTTGTATATTATTGTATATAAAATCCGCCAACTGGTTTTGAAACTATGGGCATGAAAGTCAATTCAAGTGAACTATGACTAATCTGTACCTGGAATTGTTTAATGCTAAAAGAATGCAATCTGCAATTTAAACTTTTGATACTTCAGAATAGTTTTAAAGTGAAATTGAAACAAAATTATTTGTACAATATAATCTAAACGATCATAAAGCAATTATATGATGATAGGTGGATAAAATCTTTCACCTTGGCTAAGCATGCGAAAAATTTTGAAACTTGATAAATAAAAATTTGGATTTTATAAGCTTTTTTATTACGTGATGATTTTCAACGTTATGAATTCTAAATATTTATACCAGAATTATATCAACCGTTACAACCAATAAATTAACTAAAATTTACAACTTAACAACTCAGTAAATATTTTCTGCATATTTACAGACCAAAACTACAATATATAATAATGGTTTTAATTCACAAAAAAATCAAAGACCATTTCACCAAGAGTTTATATTAAAAATGCTATACAAATTCGATATTTTATTTATGATCATATCATATATAGCTGTAAATTTTATTGAAGAAATTTATAAGAATATTCTAAAGGTCGGTAAAGTGTCTCTTTGAAGTCGTACTATAATGAGGAAATGTTGAAAGAAGTGAAAGTTCCACAATGGCCGTATAACTACTTTGTGTTACCTGACAGACGAAAATATGAACACACTTACTGTAATGATTTGTTCAATATTTCAATTCAAATATATGTACTTTCATAATCAATATATCTCCTAAGCAATCAAAATTTACTTTCATTTTTTTTGTAAATTATGCGTAATCAAAATTAATTATAAAAATTTCGCTTTTGTCCAAGTTATTTATTGTCACTTTCTTATTATTTTTATACAAAAAGTATAATAAAAAATAATAATAAAAATAAAAGTATAAATTACAGTTGCACTCTACACAATTAATGACCAATAATAACAAATAACAAATAACAAAGAGTAACCAGATTTTTAAGACGTTCGATGTTGAAATATATAAATAAATATAATACTATATATATATACATATATATATATATATATATATATATATATATATATATATATCACATACATGCAACTACATAATTTACTTTTTATGCCTTACTTCGATTGAAAATTGAAAATGCTATTTTATAATTCCTAAGAGAAATATAATAGTACAAATGCAATTAAATGAATCATCAGTTAATTAAACAAGTTATTTAATAATTCATGTCCTCATTATTAAATTGTATTAAAATACACGTGTATCTAGTACAGGAAAAGTTTTATAATTTCATTCAATTATGCACCATTTATAACACTTTTTTAATTAATATGTAATACTGAACAACTCGCATCGCTTATTAATTTAATCACACCTAGTAAATATTAGAAATGATACAGTTTTATTATACTATTTGCAGAAAGTTCTTGGTATGGAATACTTAATTGAATTATTTTATTTATTTGAATATATTTAAATTTGATGTTAATCTTTCTTGGCAAATATGATACACTCGCAAAAAATACTTAAATTGATAATATTAATAATAGGTAGTACTACCCTAAGGCAGGTCCGTGAGCTAAGTTAAACTACAACTCGATTTAAGGAAGAAGTGGTGTGAGAGTTTTCCCATTTCCATTTCACACCGCAGTGCTGGAGATGGGCTTATTTTCACTTGGAAACATTTTTGATCTATATTTTCAAGTGAAAGTGAACATCGCGCTGCCCGATGTCGGATTGCCAGATTTAAATTGATATACTACAATAAATTATCTCTTATCCAGGAAGAATTTAATACTTAATGCATAATAGAATTATTTATCTAAACATACTTAAACCTAGGGAATGCAATACCGATGGAAAATTTCAATAACGGTATATCGGTAATTTTTCATTTTAAAACCGGAATACCGGTAAATTACCGGTATTTTTATTATCTTAAATAAACGTAAACAAAATTGAAAGTTACTAGTACAAATATAAAAAAATGCATATACAACTACAACTATTTTCAACTAAACAATAAAAACAATAAAATAAAATAGTTTATTTTTTTAAATAATAATTTAACAAAGTTATATCCAATTTAATTAATTCATTATCACTATCGAGTATATTGAGTACTTTTCACCAAAAACAAACTCATGAGTAAGAAAGACCAAAAACTCATAAAAGATCATATTACATTATTATAATTAACTGTATTGTCTGTGCCCAATGTGTTAAATTAGCATAATCTCCCATATTTTAAAAAAATATTTTTTCTACACTAATTTAAGATCGGATACTTTGTCTAAATAAATAAGTTACTATAATAGTTGAGTATTGTTATTTAAAACAATGTGATGCTTCTATAGTATTTTCAAACTTCGAAACCTTATCGAAAAATAATATTTTATAATTGTAATAAGAAGCAAAAATATTTAGTAATTATCATAATTATTATGTATAAAGTTAGAAAAAAATAAAGATTACGCAGAGGTAATCTGTATGATATAAAATATTTTGGCGCAAATATCACTTAAAAAACCGTTACATTTTTACAAAAGATGAAACAAACATCATTATCTATCAGTCCAATTCTATTTATTGTAACACGATATGAAGCCCTTAGTAAAGCAATAAATATTCAGTTTAATGACGAGTTGAGATAATATTTGGCATTTGTTTATCCTATAGAATCACTTGAAGATATAGCTGTTTATGCGATTATGGAATTTAACGATAAATTTAAACTTTAGTGTATTATGTATCAAATAGCGCTTATAAAAAATACTGAAAATACCAGTATTTTTGGGGAAAATACCGGTAAAAATACCGCCGAAAAATCGGGCGGTTTACCGGTAATTCGGTATACCGGTAAGCCGGTATTGCATTTCCCACTTAAACACTATGTTTATCTTTGTTGCCAAACATAATACATTCGCAATGCATTTTAAGTAGTAAAAATATTTAGTACCTTATTGTATACTATTATAAGTCTACTATCCTATTTCCAGGAAGTCCTTGGCACGTGGCCGTGATGTCAGCACCAGGCGGCGGCGGCGGTACGACCGGTCCGTCAGCCTCGCCCGCATCCCACATGCAGTCGACGACAACCGGCTCCGTCCTCGGTGACTCTACGCGTCTCGTACCGGCAAATGCTCCGGCAGTTTTTGAGGTCCTCTCTCCGCCTGGGATGCCTCTGGTATCTAGGTCAGAGGTCGGCGTTAATGTTTTGTCACCAAGCAAAAGATCTGTACCGGTTAGAGTACAAGATGGATTACACAAAGGCACTTACAGATTAGAATTCGTGCCGACGGAGGTTGGAACACATATTATTGAGGTAAGGATGAAGGATGGTAGTCAGAAATTATTCCTGATTTGGAACATTAATAATAACTAACTTCTTGTAGGGGTAAGTTATAGTAATAGCAGAAAATCATAATGCGTATGTGATACCCCGCATTACGTACTTAATTCGTTCCGGGACAAAGTTCCTTGTGCAAAATGTTTGCTATGCGAAACTCGTTTTTAGATACAAGAAAATTAAATTAATTCGTTCTGTAGTTTGAATTGTGGTAAAAAATTAGATATATCTTATATATAAAAATGAATCGCAAAATGTGTTGGTAAACGCATAACTCAAGAACGCCTGGACCAATTTGGCCAATTCTTTTTTTTAAAATGTTTGTTGATGGTTCTTACGGCGAGAAAAAATCGAATAATTGCCGAAAAAGCCCTAAAAACAGCTCTTTTCTTTTTCACATACGAACATTTTCTAACTAAAACGTTGAATCAATTTGAACTTTATTGCTATTATATAAAGTTCATATTAAATCACAAGCACCCACTGTATACTCCTTCCAAACGATTATTCGGATTTTGATAAATCTTTCTGAAGTTTGTTAAGGAAATTATCTAGGATGTATGCGATTATAAAGTATTGGGATGTATGTGCAATATTGTAGAAATAAATGGAGAAAATTGCAAAAAAACGACATGTAATTGTTTGCATTGACAACAAATGAAAACTATCATCTGACAAAAATTACAATTTACTTATGAACCTAAATAATATTAGAATATGTATAATAAATTTATGATTATGAATAAGAAAAATGAAATGTCTACATTATTAATGCCAAAAAGCTTAAATATGAAATTAAATAATATAAGATACAGTATATGTATGGCAGATTGAATGATGCACCTATGCACAGGATATGACAATATAATTCACGTAAAATATGAAATTAAGTATAATCAGTCAATATTTATTGTTTTTAGGGTAAACGACAAATATTAGTATTTAATTAAAAATTGTAGACATGGGTACAGGACAACGTCTGTCGGGTCATCTAGTTCTACATATAATTAAGACAGTCAAAAAAATATTACTGATTTGCGAAATAAGTTTTATCAGAGTCGTATTGCTTTTTTTAGCTTCTGAATTCTTTAAAGAAAACTGTCGTAGTTTTCTCTAACAAGTATATTTCACAGTGGAGCGAAGAAAATTTCAGGTCCACTCTTTGAATTAATTTGAGTAACATATGTTTTTTGACTGCCAGCGATTCAGTGCGTTGTGTGAAGCAAAGTTCGTTGTGTGGAACGTTTGAGACCACGCACGTTATGCGGGGTATCACTGTATTTACGTTTGAAAGTCTTCTGAACATTTTGGCATACCTTAGAAAAAAAAAGTGGGTGTATGTATGTGTGTATATGTGCAGTATGTATGTGTGTACATATTCAAAATTTGTCAACGATTTCGAGTCCACGGATCAATCGATTTGAATTATTCATAGAACATTTGATGCCTGTTGATGAGGAGACGTGCTGATCAGTTGTTGACATAGACATGTCCAGCTTTAGAAGACACGATGCAAAAAGTGCGATTTTTAGCAATTTAATTTCTTCACAAATTAAGAAAAAAATTAATACAAATTAATTTTGTACGAAAAATTCCAGCAATTTGCTTTAATGCACTATGCTATGCACCGCTAGGTTACTATTGTTTTTGGTTGTCATACAACTACTTATTATTTATTTATTTATTCATAAGCAAGCCGTAATCAATAATAATAGATATTATTTCAGGCTCTTGTCAATATTTTTGAGATGTAAATCTAAAAACGATTATTCAAGTTTTCTACACAGAACATCAAATTTTCATCTATCCATAGTATATATAGAACATAAATTGAATTACGTTTGATTTTTACAAACAGTTCAATTCTCAAATATTTTTTTGATACTCAAAGATCCGCTCTATTTAATACAAGAAAATCATTTCTCGTAAAATTGCATGTTCATTTAAAACAATTATGCTTCGTTAAAACGACTATAAGTCAATATATTAGAAATACGATTGAACAGTGCTTTCTAATTATTCATATTTGTACTATTTTTATTACTATCACGCATGAAAATTTTGAAAGCAGAAAATACTTAAATATTTAATTAATCATTAGATAATATTAAAATTAATTTTGTTATTCAATATTTAAAATAGATGCTTTGAGTTAAAGAGCATTTAGTCGATCACTTTTACTCCTATCAATTCTTTTAAAAACATGAAACTTTAATTATTCTGAACAAAAATAATTTAATTCAACTATATTAACTATAATTGAATAATGAGTAGTTTCATTATTGATTTTGATGATTGATTTTTTTACTTGCCGTAGGGTAAGTTACAGTAACCACAAAAAATAGGAAAGGAAGTTTTTTATATATCTTTTGTTTAAAGGCCTTCTGAACATTTTGGCAAACCTTAGAAAAATAATATATGTATGTGTCTTAATTATCAATTAATTAATTAATTTATCACTTTTAAGGTATCTATTGGCGGCACCAAGTTATCAGCTGGACCACTGATAGCCAAGGTGTATGACGCAGGTTTAATTCAAGTAGCAGATGTTAGTGGTGGTGTGGTTGGACAACCTTGTCAATTTAGAGGTGAAACATATTTTATATAAAACATATTTATTTTTTTTATTACATTACAATATTGTATAAACTTATTATTAGCATGGGTGCGTATAAATAATTTTTGAATTGTGAATTAAGTTGGTCTAATAATTTTGCAGTTGATGCAAGTGCTGCTGGTGAAGGTCAGTTAGAAATCTCGATCATGAAGGGGAAGTTCCAAATCATGTACAGGTAATTAATTTCTTAAATAATCTCGATCAATGAAGGGGAAGTTCCAAATCATGTACAGGTAATTAATTTCTTAAATAATTCATTTTAGTTAATTACTTAATAAATCTTATTAAAGAATGTCCTTTAAATAATTATAATTTTTATTGTGTAGTGGTGCACTGTACAGTTTCATGAAAATTTACAAATGCAATCTACAAGAAATACTTCAGAATGTCAATGATAACAAAAAGAACGCTACATATTGCCGGATCAAGCAAAACCACACTTAATTGATATTAAATTCAATGTAGATGTTTAGTATCTTTCACGCCGATCAAGCAAAACCACACTTAATTGATATTAAATTCAATGGAGAACTGTGCAAGGATGTCCTTTTGTATGTGCCATAGCTGATACGAGCCGAGTTTCGTTGAATCTGTCGAATTTGGGTGAGAAAACTTATTATTGAACCAAAAATGCTAAATTCAATCATATAAGTATATATAAACCTGAAAATCTACTAAATTATGAATACTGTATAAAAGATAGGATTTAGTGATAACTGCTTTAAGCATTTTGCTATAATCCATTTTTTTCATCTAAGACAAAATGAAAATTGTTACCAAGTTTGCTAATTTATTATTAAATATTTGATAGCTCGTTATTAACATCCTGCAGGGTAAGTTATAGTAATGGGCCTAAAATCGAAAATGAAAATTTTCATGTTTGAGAGGTTTCTGAACATTTTTGGTATACCTCAGAAAAAATGATGTGTGTGTATGTGTGGAGACAATTTTTCGGGCGTATTGATGAAACAATTTGAAAAATTGAAAGAACAATTGATTCCTATTGATAGGGAGATGTGCTGATTAGTTTTTTTTTTGGCAAGGCGGGTCCAGCAACTTTGGAGATATAGAGCAAATAGTGATAAAAATGTCAGTTTTTAAGAGAACGGATCAACCGATTTGAATGATCTAAATAGTATTTGATTCGTAATGATGGAGAAAAGTGGTGATTAGATTTTGGAAAAGGCAAGGTCTACCGTTTTGAGGTACAAAGTTAAATGTGCATAAATGGCGGTTTTGAGAGAACTAAGCAATTTTTTTTTAAATAGAAAAATAATTCAGATTTTAATTTCTAATTCTAGTTAAAGTTCTAAACAAAATCAACCTATAATACTCAAAATAATTTAATCTATTTGAAAATATTCAATATTCATCGAGTATTTCATTAAGGTACGGAAAATTCTCTATATCTCCAAAACGCTGGACCTGCCTTTGCCAAAAACTAATCAGCTCTTCTCCCTATCAATAGTTATCGAATTTATTTTGAACCATTCTCAAAATCGGTTGATCGGTGACTGTATCCATACATACATACATACATACATAAATTTGTATCCATACAAACATACACACACACATACACACCCACACAACAATCCATTTTTTTTTCTGAGGTATGCCAAAATGTTCAGAAACCTTCAAACGTCGAGAAATGTAAAATTTTCAATTTCGATTTTTTCGACCCATTACAATAACTTACCCTACGGGAAGTTAATAATATTTTTAAAATATATTACATTTCATAATGCATTTTTTTATATTTTTCTAGAATTAATCCCTGTCGGGCAACCCTCCAACTTCCACATGTCGGTGAGCGGCGGCGGTGCAGCTGAGCTGGCCGTGTCAGTGCGAGGACCTGCCGGGGAGCTTCCGGTGAAGGTGACTGGGGATATTCACGCTGGATTTACTGCTGAATTTACACCGCATTCTGTTGGACCTCACCTATAGGTGTGGATTATAATGGATATCCTGTCCAGGTATTTTAAACACCGTTCATCGAAGGTTTATACAAAACCGACATTTCAGAAAACCGGTTTTCGAATTTTAATTTTACTAAAAAACCGGTTTTAACCGGTTTTTGAATTTTATATAGAAAATAAATTTTTGCTCGAACATTCTGTAATTTATCTGCAAATTTAGTGTGATTTAGAGCAGTATTTGACTGAACTTATTTATTGTTCAATTTTATAGATAGTAAATAAAATTATTTTAATTTCAATTAGTAGAACTAAAAAATAATAGTTTATCTTGATTAAATAACTTTGAAAAGAATTATTCGTTACTCATGCATCATTTTCACATATAATAATGAAAATATTTTTATGATAGTGAAAGGAAAGTTTTCGAATAAATAAAAATAATAGATTAATAAATAACAAAAAATCATTAACTTAAAAAATAAAAAAAATATTAGATACATACTTGTTAATATCAATTTTAGTTTTAAAAACAATTAAACTAAACTCTGGTATTGTCTGTTTCGAGCAATTTTAATTAATTAATTTTAAACATTGTAATTGTTTTTTTGTTTAATAAGATATGATTTCAAAAAACTTAGAACGTCTATCGAATTGCTACTTCGACAAAATTTCCTGAAATAGAAAATACTCCTCTCATACTTGCGACCAAATTATGCTTAATTGTTTTTAAAGCCAGGAATAATAATTCTAAGTTTTTTGTTATTTAATTTGTGGCTTCTAGGGTTTAAAACACTTTTTTTTAAGTTTGAGTAGAGAAAGTTACTTTTTCAAGAAGAAGGCACACTGATTTAAATTAATATATACACTGGTATAAAAATCTAAATTAATGTATACAAAACCTTTCTGGGAATTATTGCAGACTGATAAGATATCAAATGCTATTGAACCGATATGATTTCAAGAATCAAAACGCTTTCATCTATCTTTCATATTTGGCTATATTTGTCGTTTTCCATTTATACTGTGAAAACCGACTTTTTTCACTAAAAACCGGTTTTCGAATTCCATAATTTTCGCCAAAAAAACGGTTTTTAAAACTGTTTTTTTTTCATAGTATATTTCAACAATCAAATTATAAATACAATCTATCAGCTGAAAGTATATGTTGAAAATCAAATCAAAGGGGAAAAAATTAAGAAAATATAAAGATTAAATAAATGAAAAATTGTATTAATATTCTTTAAATAGGGAACGCCATTTTTGGCTAAAGCTTATGACGCTACCAGAGTACATGTTGGGCCTGTCTCCAGAGGTACAGTAGGAAGACCTTTGCAATTTACAGTTGATGCTGGTGATGCCGGTGAAGGTAATCTGGAAATAACAATATCTGCACGAGGACACAACATACCTACCCAAGTTCATCCACAGGTAAAATTAAACAATTTTAATCAACTTGTCAAGATACTCAATTATTTGAAAATATTGATCATTAATAAATTAATTATAGGGTAACGCAAGGTTTTCTGTAAGTTTTGTTCCTGCAGAAGCTTGTGAACACGTTGTCAGTGTTTCATTTAACAAAGTAAGTTGATATGATTTATTAATTTCTAATGGGTTTGTTGAAACTTTTGATTAAATTCTTAAAATCCACCGTATTAGGCGCTTTATTAAAATACTTCTTCGTTAAGTACAACTTTTAAATATCTTCTATCGTTAAAAAGCCCTTGTTGAGTATGCTTAAATACGTAGTTACGTAGTATGATTCTCTCTAGATGTCCGTTCCTGGTTGTCCAATAAGCGTTTCCGTTGGTGGAGGTCTAGGCGGCCCTCAAGTTTCATTACCAGGTCCTGGACCTATACACAAACCATCTAGCCTGTTGATCAATCATTCAGGTGGTCGCCTAGAAGACGTTGAAGTCAATGTGGAAGGTATCGTATCAAAATCCACTTTGTGTAATAACATATTTCAAATTAAGTTCCGTGTTCCCCTAACCAACAAAATTCACTCTATTAGAAAATCTGTACCAAATTCATACTTATGTATGATATGATTCCTTTTATTTTCAAGTTTTAATCAGGCGTGGCAATGTATATTATATTTGTTATTTCTGCACTTATATGTTTGTCGTCTCCGCACATAATTTATCATATAATTCATAGATTTATATTTAAGGTTATGTGTATATCTATGTTGTAAAGGGAAAGCGTGCATGAAATGATTTTTATATGCACTTTTGATTATTTTAAGAGTGCATGAATTTAAATTAGTTTCCATATAAATGTTTTTTTTATTAGACAAATAGTCATCACAAGGCTATCACTTTTTGTGAGATAAATTAAATGTAAACACTGTGAAGATATTATATACACATCAAAAATGGTATGTTTGACTTTAAAAATTAGCGAATTCAATAATCAAAAGTGCATTATTATAAGGGGATATAAACAATCATTTTCTCGACTTTGGTTTGTATTTGCATTTTGTATTTCTTCCTCACCACTTACATCGCATTTCACGTAAATGTTCTTAAGTTAATTAGTTTAAAACTAGTGTTCTGTATATCTTTACAGGAAGACGAAGACTTTTGTACTGACAACTTTTATAAAATTTAACTTACAAACGAATGTAACTACTGACGACTTACTGACGCACACAAATAAACGGTTTTACTAAAAACGTCAGTTTATAGTCAGTAATAATATTAAGCATGTTGCATAAGATGCTAAAATACTAACATATCACAAGCAATCTAAAAACTTGCAATCAATAAGATATTGCTGAAAATTTTGTAAAAATAGGTTAATAAGCTTTCAATATAGGATACCTGTATTCGTTTAACATATGTAATAAGAAACTTATATAAAAAAAAGAAACTTATTATTCGTAAATATTCATATAATTAATTAGTATTTTAATTTAATATTAATCATTTAATAACGTTTATTTTAGGTAAGTTTGCTACTTGAGCGAGAATATAAATTTTTGCCATAATTAATCTTGTTGAAACAACGTCGATTGCCATAAATTTTTGTTATTACTAATTTCGCCATATTTTGCCATATATTTTTCCTATTATGGGTACTTAATGACGAATAAAATAAAACATTTTTTGAAAAGCAGACTTATTGCACTGCAAGCAAATCTTAATGGTATTTAAATAACTAATATAAAATATGCATGATAAAAATATGATTGCAAAATTTAAGTATATTTATTTATTTTTTTATACTTTTAATAGTTTAGATTAAGTGTATTAGATTTAAGCTTATTTTGCATGGATTTCTGGGAATAAATTTATAGCTCTTGCATGTTACCATTTATAATCATAATATAATCATATTGCTTGATGGAAGCTGAAGTATACAAACAACTTCACTAGTAAAAATCAGTAGTTTTTAAAAGCTAATATGACATGTCCAATGGATTACTTTAAATATCATTATATAAATAAGTGAATAAATATATAATAAAGTTTATTCATTTCTTTTAGATCCTACTGATTTTTTGCATCTTGAGTTTGGCAATGCACGGGCACAACAATATATTTGTGTGTCTACAATCATTTCTTCTTGCTATCATACAGAATTAGTATCATAAAATTACTTATTAATCAATACTTTTAAATAAATCATATCTAATAATTAATCATAAACCAGACAATATATTACCTTTTAAAATGATCCCTTTGCCATTATTTTATCCCACCTTACTCTATGCTTCCCAAAACACGGACAATACAATTATTATATCTGGGCATGACTTGACCATGAACGCAGGGCCAAACGGACAGTCGGTACCCACGCAGGTACAACAGACCGCCGACGGCGTATTCAGGGCCGAATTCGTACCGAGGGCGGTAGGAGAACACCGAATCACGGTCTCGGTGCAAGGGCAGCCTACTGCGGGAAGCCCGTATGCCGCTAAGGTAAGTAACACAAACTAGTTGTCAGTAGCATTTTGCTTTAAGGGGTATTCTAGTGTAGAAATTCAAAAACATCGATTTTTTTTTATTCATATTTTCGGAAATATAGGCATTTTACGGACTCGGTCTTCATACTGGTTTGGCTTCACGCAAAACTTTAAATGCGTTTTTCTCAGAACAGACTTTTTCAGTACTGTTGACACAATTTCTCGAGTTTTAATCGACCGATTCACTTGAAATGTTCAGAAAGTTTTGTTTATAGACCTATCTATAGCCCAAACTAGGATTATCCCCAAATTCCTCCCTTTACTATTTTTAAAAAATTCAAGAAACTCAAAAAACAGTAAATATAACACTTTTTTTTCGAACAGTCGCCAATTTGTAAAAAAAAAATTTTTTACTCATCGCTAGTTCGGGCGATTGCGACATCCTTGTAGCTTAATAATCTTTTTATTTTTTGCATTTCCGACGGCTAGGAGGGCTGAAATCATGTCAAGACTGAGGTGCCAATTTTTTGAGACCACCCACTTCATCAGCTGCCAGTTTTTACAATTTTTAACTTTATTTTTTTTATTTTTGTTTTGTATTTTAATAATATTAATAAACAAGTGTTAAAAATGGATATTAAAAACATTCATTGCTTTCTTTTACGACAAAATGACCTAAAATTCATCGCTCTTCAATTTTACAACTTTTTCTCGAAACTAAAAATACGGTGCGGGATGGGGCTTGGTTAATATTGAATATCTCCGCGTATCACCAAAGCGGAGGGGGATCCAAAAATCATTAAAAAAAATCGATCACGTGATTAATGAACGCCCGCTAAGGTGATCATACGTCCCGGTTTGGCCGGGACAGTCCTGGTTTTCTACCTTGTGTCCTGGGTTTTTTAAGAGCATTATTTTTCCCAAATTAAGATTTTTTGTCTCGGATTGTCCCGTGTTTTTGAAAAGTATAGGCTTAAATTGAATCTTCGCTCTCATTTGATAATTACAACTATTCATCAAATATCTGAAATTGTGCCATCTGAAAGTGTTATGCGCAAAGAAAATGCTGAATGAAAAAAAAAATGCTGAATACAAAATTCTAAATGCGGGTTACAATAGCCTTTTACCTTAATAATCTCTACACTCCGACAACTTTTTGACTGCTGCCTGGCATGAGTCATTTTTTTTGGAGATAATTATAAAGAAAGAAAAACAGAATTTTATAGAAAGTTTGAAAGCGAAAAATATAACATATAATTGAATAATAAAGTTCTCCAAAAGGTCAGTGATTTTGATTAAAAATTGAATTGAAAAAAATTAGTTTACAATTTTCAAAGTTAGGAGTTGATGAAGTGGATCGTCTCAAAAATGGTTATGCTCACAATTGCAATCCCCGTAGTAATCTGAATTAAAAAAAAACAATTACTAATCCAGAATATTGCCGCTAAGATATATATATATATATATATATATATATAATATCCAGAAACTCGAAAAGTGATAAAAGTGATAAAACGGGTCTCTTTTTTATAGTCTAGTATATATAAACTACCAACAAGTTAAGTTTTTTTATTAAAATGGCGACAGGTTGAAAAAAGAGACCCGTTTTATCACTTTTTGAGTTTCTGGATATTTTAAACAAAATTTTGAGATTAGTTTAGTATATATCAGAGAGTCTATATGATTGAATATGATTTTCTGAAAATTTCAAGTAAATTGGTCTAGTAAAACTCAAAAAATCGTGGGCATCGTATTGAAACAGACTCTATTGAGAAAAACAGATTATCATCAGGTTATATAAATCCTCTATTTTTTTTATAATCTGTATAAAATTGATAAGCAAACTAAGTGAACTTAATACATCATTTTCATACGAATATATTTTGTTGATTAATAATTACAGGTTTATGATGTGAACGCAATTCGTGTGAAAGAAGTCAGCTCTGGTACTGTAGGAAAGCCCGTCACTTTTCTAGGTAACTATTATTGAAGCAAATCTAATTACTGACGCAAATGATTATTTTAAGATTAAATTAATGTAACTAATGTACATTTGCAGTTGAAACATCCCAAGCTGGCCCTGGAAATTTGGAAGTGACCGTAAATGGCGGTCGTGTGCCAACATCGGCACAAGCCCAAGGACAACACACTTACGCAATTAGTTTTACACCGAGGGAACCGACTGAACATACTGTTGATTTGCGCTTCAATGGACAAGATGTACCTGGTATATAACATGCATGCATGTGATATAAATAACAGCCATATCATAAAGATTTGTAATTAAATTATTTAACTATAATAGGAAGTCCATTTTCATGCCGAGTTTGCGCCGCAGCTCGTGTAATTGCCCCTGAACTTCTGGAAAAAGTATCTGTGGGTCGTGCTTGTGAATTTTTGGTTGAGAGTGAAGCACCTCCAAATGTTGAAGTACTTGGACCGGCTAGAAGGCCTCTGCAAGCTACTGTTTCGCCAGTAGCGGGGGGCTCGGCTGATGGGGCTTCTGGCGATGGCAAATTCAGTGTAAAATTTATACCAGTAGATGTTGGTGATCATAGTGTTGAAGTAAGACTTTTAATGACTTGTACAAATACCAATTACTTACTTATATCCATCTAAATATTGATAATTTTTCTTCAAAATGAATACTTAAGTATATCAAAAGTATTTTACTATAACTATCGTTAATGGAGTATTTTTAATATAGCACTTGTCTATGTAAGTTTAATCACCTGCAGTAAAATTTATTTAAATTTGAAGGTACGTTTACCAGGCGGCCATGTAGAGGGTAGTCCTTTTCTAGTAAAAGCTTATTCTGCTGAGCGCGTAACAGTAACAGACATATCCCCTGGAACAGTAGGAAAACCAGTCAGTTTCAGCATCAATGCAAGTCAAGCAGGTGCCGGAAACCTTGAGATCATAGTTGCAGTTGCCGGAAGAAATGTACCAAACTATGTGCAAAGTGAAGGCAATGCAAGATTCAAGGTGACTGAAAATCGCAGCCTATATAAATAATATAATCTGATCGTCTTATTTTATTACTAACATTTTAATTCTAATGTAATGCGTTTTTACCCGTAGGTGAATTTCAAACCTACTGAAGCAGCAACACATTCATTATCTGTTAGATTTAATGGTTTGGCCGTTCCTGGATCACCGTTCAGTTGCATAGTGTCACCTGCTTTAGGCCCAGGAACGGCTACAGTTACTGGACCAGGAGTAAAGTTGGCGGCTCTTGGTGAAGAAGCACGAATATTATTAGATGGTTTCACAGGTTAATTTTTCTTATTGAATATTTTTTTATTAGAAATTTTGTGGTTTCCAAACCTTATTAAAAGTATTGATACATTTAATTCCTTAAGTAATCCATTTTTTTTTCTCTTACAGTATACATGTTACCGTAAAGCATGACTAAATTTACCTTTCATTCTAGGTCCAGAGCCTCAAGTCAGCGTGACCTCACCGTCAGGCGCCATTCTTCGGAGTTCTGTGCGCCCAACTGATTCAAGTGGCCAATACACCGCTATATTTCGACCTGATGCGGTTGGACGTCACTCTGTGGCAGTGTTACATGGCGGTGGTGACATGCAGCATGTGGCGGGTTCACCTTTTAGCTGTAACGTCTATGATGTGCGCAGAGTTCACGTTAGAGGGCTTGAGGCGGGTCCTGGAGGTAAATGATAAATAAAATTCAGATCTCTACAAATATTCGACATGAGACATAGTTAATTTCTGGATTGACATTATAAATATTACGGATAATAAATAAAAATAAAACTAACCCTCCGTCGGGTTTAGTCGAAAAATCTTGTAATTTTCAACTAGTTGTTCAAAATTATAATTTTTATTACTAGTTAATTAATTCTATTACCAGGTGCTGCAGTCGCCGAAGTGGGTCGAGCAGTAACATTCAGCGTAGATGCTGCTAGTGCAGGTGAAGGCACATTGGAGCTCGTTGTCTCGACTGCCCAAAATACAGTAAAAGCAGAGGTATTCATATACAATAGACTTCTGTCAGCGCATTCTTTTTATTAGATCTAATCAGTCATCTAATATTCGGATATTGCTAATACATCAATTACTTATAGCATTTATTGATAAAATTCTTATCTTCAAATTCATTTTTGTTTACGTACAGGTGAGTAATTCAACATGCATGCGTGATAGATATGTATATAATCTGTCAGTTTGTTTTTCTTATTTGAATTATACATAATATATGTAGCACGATAATCAAAATTTGAGCCGCGATTCTTTATAAATCGAATGTGTATATGTATATATTATATAATATATATTTGTGTTGTTTATAGGTAGTCGCCTGTGCACGCGGTTTATACGATGTAACTTTTGTACCTTCTACGCGAGAAATGCATTTTGTCAACATAACGTTTAATGATGCACCAGTTCCTGGCAGCCCTTTCCAATGTGCTGTGCAGGAAAATCTACAACATATTCAAATCGGTAGAAACTAGTTTATAAATATATACATATTATATATATATATATATATATATATATATATATATATATATTATATATATATATATATATATATGCGTATGTTAAAAAATAGCACATAAATTTCATTTTATAATTAAATAACACTTTATGATTAATTTGCATGCGGTCAACAAATATTTTAATGATTTTGCAATATGTCTACGAATATCTTATTATTTATCAAAAGTTCCTTTGACAAGCTCTGATATTTTACATGTCGCTCTCTCAATTAGGTGGTGTGGCTAGTGTCGATATGCCGCAATCTCCCGACAAAACTTTGGAGATAATTGGTCCAGATGGTCGTAAAATTTCATATGGTGTTTCACGTGGAGTTGCCGAATTTAAAACATCTCAAGTCGGACAATACACCATTAGGACGATTGAAACCGAAAGCGATCTGCCACTTGCTGTTCGAATTATTAATGTGTACGATCCTACACTTGTTCAAATAGTTACTGTTGGTGAAGGTCAATGTCATCGAACCGCCACTTTAGGAGGTAATGGAAATAAAATTAATACACCTATTTCAGTATGGTATGGTAAACATCGGTTTTACCGGGGGGTATTTATAAGCTAAAAATTTTATTGATAAACAATCGCACACTTATGTTCAGATAAAACATTATAGTGCTGAAAACCTTAAAAAATATTTTCTACACTTTAGAAACAAATATAGGCGCAAATCAAATATATTTTATACTATTATTTCATTATATATATATATATATATATATATATATAGATATAGCAGAGTTATATCCCGAATCCCAAATAGATATCCCAATAATCGATAAAGCAATCCCAAATAGATATGTATATATGTATGTATGTATATGTACTATCATTTTTAGTATCAACAATCGATGCTGGTCAAGGCATATTGAGTGCTTTAGTGCGTGCAGGAGGTGAAGACGTTCAGCACACCGTTCGTGCTCCATCAAAACCTGGTGGAAATACTTGGGAATTGAGTTATCAGCCAATAAAAGCTGCTCCACATAAAATCACCCTCATGTATAACGGCGTTCCGGTGTCAGAAAGGCCAATAGAGGTCAATGTATTACCAGCTGGTGTGGGTCATGAGGTAAACATAATTTTTTTTGTTAATTACGTTTGAGGAAACTGAAATATTTTTTATGGTCTGTGTAAAGGTTAAGAAATTCAATTTATTAATTACAAAATTAAAAACTGCGGTTAAAATCTAATATTTTAAATCGAATGTATCCTACATTGTTTTTTTATTTCAAAACCTATTTAAAATTGAGTTTTTCATTCCTTAATGCATTAGCAATAAATCTTTATCTACTAAATTTTAAATTTCATAAACATTTAATTATGAATTTTCATGATATGAAATATTCAAGATAAGATTAAATCGCATTCGCCAATTCTGAGGCAATGCTAGATCGGTCTATATTATCGAAATCAGTATATAAAATTATGAATTGTTTTTCACTTCGTTGTAATTTTGTGCATAAAATATTAAGTGTATTTTCAATTATTATTCCATATTTTTATCATTATAAAAAGGTTACTGCATCCGGTTCGGGCTTGTATCAAGCGCGTTTGGGAAAGGTAACTTCATTTTCGATCGACACCTTAGGACGACCAGCCCGGGAGTTCGATGTTGTCGTTTCTGGGCCTGGTGGTGTCGCGTTGCCTGTTAGATGTTACCAAACTAAATCAGGATTGCTTCAAGCGGAATTTACAGTTACTCAGATTGGTGAATGCGTCATAGGTAAATTATACGAGGGTTTACAATGTGTACCTGATTTATATTTATTAGGGTTTATACAAAAACCGACATTACAGAAAAACGGTTTTCGAATTTTCATTTTACTAAAAAACCGGTTTTAACCGGTTTTCGAATTTTATATAAAAAATAAATTTTTGCTCGAACATTCTGTAATTTATCCGCAAATTTAGTGTAATTTAGAGCAGTATTTGACTGAATTTATTTATTGTTCAATTTTATAGATAGTAAACAAAATTATTTTAATTTTAATTAGTAGAACTAAGAATAATAGTTTATCTTGATTAAATAAATTTGAAAATAATTATTTATATTCATGCATCATTTTTACATATAAGAATGAAAATATTTTTATGGCAGTGAAAGGAAAGTTTTCGAATAAATAAAAATAATACATTTCTAAATAAAAAAAATCATTAAAAAAAATAAATAAATAAAAAAATATTAGATACATTTTCATACATACTTTTTAATATCAATTTTAATTTTAAAAACAATTAAGCTAAACTCGGGTATTGTCTGTTCCAAGTAATTTTAATTAATTTTAAGCATTCTAATTATTTTTGGTTTAATAAAATACGATTTCAAAAACCTGAGAACGTCTATCATATTTCTACATAGACTTCAAGAAGAAGTCACACTGATTTAAATTAAAATATACACTGGTATAAAGATCTAAATTAATATATACGAAACTTTTCTGGGAACCATCGCAGACTGATAAGATATCAAATTCTATAGAAATGATATGATTTCAAGAATCAAAATGCTTTCATCTATCCTTAATATTTGGCTATATTTGTCATTATCCATTTATACAGTAAAACCGACTTTTTTCACTAAAAAAACGGTTTTCGAATTCCATAATTTTCGCCAAAAAAAAAACGGTTTATAAAACCGGTTTTTGAAAACCGACAAACCCTAATATTTATACGTCATTCTTATTGGAGCTGATAGGTACAACTAATATATTTTCAAGAAATTTAATTTATTTTATAGAGGTACTTCATCAGGCGAAACCATTAAGCGGAAGTCCGTATACGTGCCAATCTTTTGATCCAAGCAAAGTTACTGTGAAAGGAGCTCCTCATTCTACAGTGCCATTGTATAGTCCAGTTCTGTTAACAGGTATGAATACTATCAGCGTCCTCAATTCTTTCAAAAAATTTCTTAAATCCAATTGTTTATATTATTTTTATTTCATTAAACAAATTAATTTATTGCAATTAATGAAAACACAATAATAATAATGATTCTTAAGAAATTTGTACGTTCTGTAATTGTATTCTTACTAATCAATCATTTCCAGTTGATCATTCACACGCGGGTTTAGCTGAACTAGATTTTTCAATAACTGGACCAAACGGTCACAGCCTTCCATTAATGATCACTAGACACGGAGATGGCGCACACATGGTAGAATTGGTACCAAATGCTCCAGGTTTGTGAATTTAAATTAAAATGAAATCAGTTTCAGAAAGTATAGTTTTGTGTCGTCTTTCTAATAAGGTAAATAAATTTACTTAAAGGAAATTATAAAGTGAATGTTCTTTATGGTGGTATATCTGTGTTGAAAACTCCAATTAATTTCACTGCGAGCGCCGAATCATTGCGCAAAACTGGTGCACGTGCTGCAGGTCCTGGTTTAGAATTAGGTCATTGTGGCAAAGAGGCCGGATTTATTGTTTATTGCCCAAGTGTTCCAAGTGTGCAGGTAATATCGCGCGTGCTTCATAAAATTCTTGATATTATTTATTTTGTAGTCTATTAGTGAAACATTCGGTAATAATTTTAGATAAAAATTAAATTATGTAAATTTACAGATTGAATCATTAGACCCTTCTGTAGCTTCTGCTGCAGACATAGAAACCCATATTCAATCTATAAAGCCAGGGGAATGGCGTGTTACTTATGTACCGCATTCTGTTGGAATGTATGAAGTACGTGTGAGCTGTCCTGGTCAAGGTCAAGTGCCCGGTTCTCCTTGGGAACTTAAGGTATATTATTATTTTTATTCTTTACTTTACTCTTTGTCTCATCTTGAAGTATGTTTATTAAATGATGTTTTATAGGTGGTTGATCCTTCTCAATGCCACATTATTGGGGGATGGCCACCGCACTTAGATGATAATGGCAATTTAAAATTGCCAGCCAAACTAATTTTTGACGTAAGTCAGTGCGGTCCTGGACGCTTAGAATGTATACTGGATGGCATGGAAATACGTAAGTACATACAAATGACGATATCTTAATTCGTTTACTAAATATATGTTATTTAATGTTGTATGGTTTAATTCTTACTAAGTTTAATTTTTAATTTTATTACTTTTTTCTAGCAACTGAACAATATGGGGGCAAAATGAGAGTTTCTCTGAATGGAGAAGGTACAGCGCAAGGAAAATGTGCATTGGAATTATCATATTCAGGTGTTCCAATCCCAGGTGCACCTCAAAGTGCTATAGCACATTTTCCTGCTAATGGTGCTGGTGAAAAAGTTGTGTTGACGGGCAGAGGTCTTGCAAGCGCGCAAAGTGGTGAAACTGCTCATTTCACTATAGGTCATTATATTATATTATTATTATTATAGAAAAAATATTTAAATTAAATTGAATATAAATCATTACATTTATTTCTTTCATTATAGATGGTTCACAAGCAATCAGTGGTGGTTTGCCTGAAGTTACCTTGCAAAACCGTGATACTGGACGCCCTGTCGAAGTAATTGTTACACCTGCTTCTGGACCAGCAGGTGAGGAAGTTTGGCATGCTCAATATACCCCACCTGCGCCGGGAATCTATTTATTGGGTGTTACGTGGGCTGGCCGTGTTGTCAAAGGTATTGTATCATGTTTAGTATATTTATAATGTAGCATATATAATATTAAAATTAACTTGCGTTTTAAACTATAATCAACTTCAAAAACTATTGTATAGGTAATTTTATTAATATATCTTTATACTATATAAGAAGCATAAGTAAAATAGAATTTGTTAATACAGAATTGTTTTATGTATTTTAATTTTATATACTTTATTTATAGGTTGTCCTCTTACTGTCAGTGTGTCTGGATCGGCAGATGCCAGCCGCGTTCTTTGTTCGGGTGAAGGTTTGCGTCGTGGTGTAGTTGGACGTGAAATCCGCTCTTGGATAGACACACGGCGAGCTGGTCCTGGTGAATTAACTGCACACTGTGCTGGTCCTCGCAAGGTTGCATACTGCGAACTTTATGATCATGGTGATGCTACTTTCACACTAAATGTAAAACCGCAGGAGGCTGGTAATCACCAGTTAACTATAAAATACGCAGGAGAACATGTGCAAGGGTCGCCATTCCAACTTAGGGTGGCAGGAGCTCCAGATGCTAGCAAGGTAAAATTTAAATTGAAGTTGATTATAATTCAATTAACAAGATAATACTACAACACCTAATCAATGTATATGACTACTAGTTTTAGTCATACCGCGATTAACTTCAGGTAATAAAGGCATATTATATGAACTTCGGGTAATCATGACAATGTCCGAAAAATATTATTTTTTAAAACAATTTTAATAAATAAAATTGGTTTAGGTTCGAGTTTATGGTCCAGGAATTGAGCACGGGGTTTTGGCTACATTTCAATCTCGTTTCATTTGCGATACACGAGGTGCCGGCGCCGGTCAACTAACAGTTCGCGTTCGGGGACCTAAAGGCGCTTTTCGCGTCGAAATGCAGCGCGAAAGTCAAAAAGATCGCACTATATTATGCAAAGTAATACTTTACATTCAAAATGCATAATTTTATGTATTTATTATTTTAGATATCGTTTATTTATTGTTTTATCTCTCATCAGTTCGATCCAACCGAACCAGGAGACTACAGAGTTGAAGTAAAATGGGCGGGAGAACTGGTTCCAGGTTCGCCTTTCCCAGTCATGATTTTTGATACTCAAGAAGAATTAAAACGATTTCTTCATGGATAGTATATATATATATATATATATATATATATATATATATATATCAGTGGGTACTTATCATTTAAACATTATTGGATCTATTACACACTGTATTCTCAAGTATTGTTAAAATCCGTCCAGACAATTTCCTTCTATTTTATTTTATTTTTGTATTCGAAAATACTATTCTCTCTTTATAAATTAATGTTCATGTGATATTTCATGATTAATATATTGGCTCTATTAATAGATATTTATATATTATTGTATACTAAAATCTAAATAAATAATTGAAAAAGCGTATGATATATTAATATTGGTAATGTAACCTGTAAAATCACTTAGCAAATCAAATTAATTGAGATGTTTCAAGTAATTTGCATTGCATTTTTGAGTGTTTATATTGGCCGGAAGTCTATTCAATTTTACTGTAAAAAAAATACATCGCAGTCACCATGACAAAGTAAGATTGAACAAAACAAAATTTATCCATATTTTGAATTATCAAAATTTTTGGTCATCAGTATTTACAAATTCGTCCCAATTGCTTTCAAACATCTTATACTGAAAATTTTAGAAATAATAAGTCATGGTTATATGCAGATAGCGCACGGTCATTCCTCCCCAGGAGGTGATAACATCTTATATGATGTATGGCTACATTATTCAGGACAGATTAAGGAGGAGGAGGTAATAACCGGAATGACGCCAGAATTTAAAGGTCACTTAATAAAATTAAATCTATTAATTTTATCAATAATAGATCACTACTAATTTTATTGAATTAGGGCTCCTTCTTTTTGGGAGTATTATTACTTTCTTATGGCTGGAGTCCGCCTTTGACATCTACCTTATGGTTCGTCAGCTTATGAAGTATAATGAAGAAGAAGAAATGAGTGATGTGTATGTAGATATCATGACACCTTTGGTCTTCGAAAAAGCACGTTTATATGGAATTGATAGAACAAAGTTTAGAATTTGCAAAACATTATATTTGACGGTAATTAATTGGTTTCCAACATATATTTTCATTGGTTTCTAAGTCTATTATTGTTTTGAATTAAAAATGTATTAATCAATGCACAAACAATTCTTTTAATATCTACAGACGATGTGCACATTAGGTTTAATATTCGGATGGACAGCTGCGCTTTGGCGTGTGGCGCAAGATTGTGCAGATAAGCTACCATTTGGGTCATCAGATTCTGAAATTTTAGTAACTGTAATCTTCGTTTTAATCAACAATTTAATATCCACTCTAACAGAACTTCCGCTATCTTTTTATGATATATTTGTTATCGAGTCGCAACATGGATTTAATAAGCAATCTGTGGAAATGTTTCTTAACGATCAACTGAATTACTTTACAATGGTGCAACTGTTTTTTTTGCCTTTATCGGCATTGTCAGTGATGATTATTAAACTAGGCGGAGAAAGGTTTTTTTAATTACAATATTTCGCTTTTTTGTATATCAATGTAAACAATTTTAAATAATTTTGTTTTAGGTTTTTTGTGTGGTTATGGATGTTTATATGCATTTTATGCATGTTCATTAATATGTCATATCCAACACTTATGTCCGACTTTGATATGAAGTGTACACCTCTTCCGGAGGGAAAGCTCAAACGAGATTTTGAGGTGAAAAAAAGTAAAAATCCAAAAAAGCCTTTTATTTTAGATAATAAATCATTATTTCCAGGAGTTAGCTCAAATAGTAGACTTTCCTCACGAAAACGTATTTGTATTCAACGGATCAATGCGTTCACGCCATACAAATGCTTATTTTGCTGGAATTTTTGATTCTAAACGAATTGTGCTGTAAGTTTATCTCAGCTTAAGTATTATTTCATAAATAATGTTTGTAAATATATGTTATATACAACAAGGTATGATACATTGCTGGCAAAAAAGGCAGCTTCTTCGACAACCGGTCTTACGATTGGATGTTCAGATGATGAAGTACTGGCCATAATTTGCCACGAATTTGGTCACTGGAAATTAAATCATGTTATGTTTCGAATGTTATTCGTGCAGGTACCTCTGAATTATATATTAGTTTGTATTGGATAACATTTACGAATTTTTTAGGCTAATCTTTTTTTAACACTTGCCATGTATTCTCAATTAAAAGACAGTATGCCACTATTCTATGCATTTGGTTTTAAAAATGATCAAAAACCTGTTCTTGTTGGTTTAATCTCGGTAATGGATTTTATAATGGCACCTTATAACGCATTAGCTATGATTGCTCTTCTTTTTATTGGACGTGAAATGGAATTTCAAGCAGACGACTACGCGAAAGTAAAGAAAACTTTATTAACTATATAAAATAACTTAAATATTTTCATACATGATTGGACGCAGTTTATTGTTATGAGTTTTATGTAATATTTGTGTGTGTTTATTTATTATAATAATTATTTTAGAATTTGGGTTATGGAGAACCACTAAAAAGGGCTTTGATAAAACTGCATAAGGATAACTTGAATTCGCCTATACATGACTGGATGCATTTCATGTTTAACGAATCACATCCATCTTTATTGGATAGGCTTGCTAGAATTGAAGAAAACTTATAATTAAATTGTGCATATAAGACGTAACCTACATTTTGATCAAAAATTTATAAAGCTATGCAATAAAAAAAAATCTTTGAAAGTTTATTTTCATAATCAATTTCTATGTTTATATATACGAGATTTAGTCTTCAGGGCAATACATCAATTAAAATTTTGTATGAACTTATATCATTTTTATTGTTTCCATACGTTTCGACACATATTTTGTGTCATCTTCAGTGAACTATATAATTGTAATGCTCCTGATTATTCCATAATAATGATTGTTCAAATGCAAAAGACAATTCTTGTCACTTTAAATCGGAACAATTATATAAATTTTTAGAACGATTTTTTTTTATTGTAGAGTCACATTTCTGTTCTACTGTCGCATCGGACAACGGCTTTGCGACATGTACTCTACAATAAAAAATAAAAAACATACAAAAGAATATGTATCCATATTTAGTAGTTAAATTCATAAACTATAGAAAAGCAACTGTAACAATGTTAATATAATTATAACAAAATAAGGAGAAAAAACAACAAAAGTAACTTACATAAATATGGTCTTACATCAGTAACTTGCGCAAGGCACATAATTTTGGAAATTTGGAAATTTGGAAATATTATTGAGTATCAACTGATAATTTTCACAGGGTAAGGAGGTATCACTCCTCTTATTAATACTAGTGTCAGATTTTATGAGGTTAATAATTGCAATCCTTCTTAGACCAAAATTTTTTTGACCAAATTTTTTTTAACCAAAAATTTTTTCCCAAAAAGTTTTTTGACCAAAAATTTTTCTTCAAAAATTTTTTTGACCAAATTTTTTTTGATCAAAAATTTTTTTCCAAAAATTTTTTTGTCCAAAAATTATTTTGACCAAAAATTATTTTGACCAAAAATTTTTTTGACCAAAATTTTTTTGACCAAAAATTTTTTTCCGAAAATTTTTTTGACCAAATTTTTTTCACCAAAATTTTTTTGACCAAAAATTTTTTGACCAAAAATTTTTTGACCAAAATTTTTTTGACCAAAATTTTTTTGACCAAAAATTTTTTTGACCAAAATTTTTTGACCAAAAATTTTTTGACCATAATTTTTTTGACCATAATTTTTTTGACCAAAATTTTTTTGACCAACATTTTTTTGATCAAAAATTTTTTTGAGCAAAATTTTTTTTCCGAAAATTTTTTTGACCAAAATTTTTTTCCAAAAATTTTTTTGACCAAAAATTTTTTTGACCAACAATTTTTTGACCATAATTTTTTTGACCATAATTTTTTTGACCAACATTTTTTTGATCAAAATTTTTTTGACCAAAATTTTTTTTCCGAAAATTTTTTGACCAAAATTTTTTTGGCCAAAAATTTTTTTCCAAAAATTTTTTTGACCAAAATTTTTTTCCAAAAATTTTTTTGACCAAAAATTTTTTTGACCAAAAATTTTTTTCCGAAAATTTTTTTGACCAAAAATTTTTTTCCGAAAATTTTTTTCACCAAAATTTTTTTGACCAAAAATTTTATTGGCCAAAATTTTTTTGACCACAAATTTTTTGACCAAAAATTTTTTTCCCGAAATTTTTTTGACCAAAATTTTTTTGGCCAAAAATTTTTTGACCAAAAATTTTTTTCCAAAAATTTTTTTCCAAAAATTTTTTTGACCAAAATTTTTTTGACCAAAATTTTTTTGACCAAAATTTTTTTGACCAAAAATTATTTTGACTAAAAATTCTTTTTAACCAAAATTTTTTTGACCAAAAATTTTTTTCCGAAAATTTTTTTGACCAAAATTTTTTTTACCAAAATTTTTTGACCAAAAATTTTTTTCCAAAAATTTTTTTGACCAAAAATTTTTTTCCGAAAATTTTTTTGACTTTACTAGCTTGAAATTTTCCGTTTTTGGTCAAAAAATTTGACCTTTGCTATGTAACCGTTGCTAGCTTGAAATTTTCAGTTTTTGGTCAAAATTTTTTTGACCTTCGACCTTTGACCTCTGCCAATTTTCAGTTTTTGATCAAATTTTTTTTTGACCTTTGACCTTTGCCATGTAATCGTTGCTAGTTGGCTGAAAAAAATCTTTGACCTTTGACCTTTGCTAGCTTGAAATTTTCCGTTTGCCAATTTTCAGTTTTCGGCCAAAATTTTGGTATATAAGACGTTACCTACATTATAAAGCTATGCAATAAAAAAATCTTTGAAAGTTTATTTTCATAATCAATTTCTATGTTTATATATATACGAGATTTAGTCTTCAGGGCAATACATCAATTAAAAACTTGTATGAACTTATATCATTTTTATTGTTTCCATACGTATCGACACATATTTTGTGTCATCTTCAGTGAACTATATAATTGTAATACTCCTAATTATTCCATAATAATGATTGTTCAAATTGTTCAAATGCAAAAGACAATTCTTGTCACTTTAAATCGGAACAATTATATAAATTTTTAGAACGATTTTTTTTTTATTGTAGAGTCACATTTCTGTTCTACTGTCGCATCGGACAACGGCTTTGCGACATGTACTCTACAATAAAAAATAAAAAACATACAAAGAATATGTATCCATACAAATATTAAGTAGTTAAATTCATGAACTATAGAAAAGCAACTGTAACAATGTTAATATAATTATAACAAAATAAGGAGAAAAAACAACAAAAGTAACTTACATAAATATGGTCTTACATCAGTAACTTGCGCAAGGCACATAATTTTGGAAATTTGGAAATATTATTGAGTATCAACTGATAATTTTCACAGGGTAAGGAGATATCACTCCTCTTATTAATACTAGTGTCAGATTTTATGAGGTTAATAATTGCAATCCTTCTCTGCTGTCTTCAAAAAAATTTTTTGACCAAATTTTTTTGATCAAAAATTTTTTCCAAAAATTTCTGTGACCAAAAATTTTTGTCCAAAAATTATTTTGACCAAAAATTTTTTTGACCAAAATTTTTTTGACCAAAAATTTTTTCGACCTCCTAAATTTTTTTCTGAAAATTTTTTTGACAAAATTTTTTTCACCAAAATTTTTTTGACCAAAAATTTTTTTGACCAAAAATTATTTGACCAAAAAATTTTTTTGACCAAAATTAATTTTTTTGACCAAATTTTTTGACCAAAAATTTTTTCCGAAAATTTTTTGACTAAAATTTTTTTCACCAAAATTTTTTTAACCAAAAATTTTTTCCCAAAAAGTTTTTTGACCAAAAATTTTTCTTCAAAAATTTTTTTGACCAAATTTTTTTCATCAAAAATTTTTTTCCAAAAATTTTTTGGACCAAAAATTATTTTTGACCAAAAAATTTTTGACGAAAATTTTTTCGACGAAATTTTTTTGACCAAAATTTTTTTTGACCAAAAATTTTTTTCCGAAATTTTTTTGACTAAAATTTTTTCACCAAAATTTTTTTGACCAAAAATTATTGACCAAAATTTTTTTGACCAAATTTTTTTTTCCAAATCAAAATTTCAATTCAAATTTTTCCAGATCAAAAATTTTTTTCCAAAAATTTTTTGGACCAAAAATTATTTTGACCAAAAATTTTTTTGACGAAAATTTTTTCGACGAAAATTTTTTTGACCAAAATTTTTTTGACCAAAAATTTTTTTCCGAAATTTTTTTGACTAAAATTTTTTTCACCAAAATTTTTTTGACCAAAAATTTTATTGACCAAAATTTTTTTGACCAAATTTTTTTTTCCAAAAATTTTTTTGACCAAAATTTTTAACCAAAAATTTTTTCCCAAAAAGTTTTTTGACCAAAAATTTTTCTTCAAAAATTTTTTTGACCAAATTTTTTTTGATCAAAAATTTTTTTCTAAAAATTTTTTGGACCAAAAATTATTTTGACCAAAAATTTTTTTGACGAAAATTTTTTTGACCAAAAATTTTTTTCCGAAAATATTTGACCTTTGCCATTTGACCTTTGACTTTTTAGGACCAAAATTCTTTTTCAAAATTTTTGGACTAAAATTTTTGGACATAGAAAACACGTGAAATTTACAAAAAGTCGATTTTCTGCTCTCCTGAGCGAAAAATGTACGACTAATGTTGTGGTATTTATTTATTGTTGAATAAAACAAAATTATTTATACGTTAACAACGAAGATAACCTTAATGCTTACCTTACCACGTCTCGAACCTGCTACCCTCTTCTCTCCAGCGACTCGCACCTCCCAATGCGCGACGCCACGATGATCACATTAGTGAATCGTTACAAAGTAGGTGATATTTTATATTTTAAACGAAAAAAAAATTAACAGGTCATATGACCAAAAAAAGTAGGGTAGGTATGACCTGTGTTGGCGTTATTGGTACAGTGATGGCTTCTTACCAAAAGGGTACCGAGTTCGAATCATACCTCCACCCATAAAGCGAAAATCAGCAGTACGACTAACGTTCTTGTATTTATTTAATGTTGAATAAAACAAAGTTAATATTTAGATATAACAAACTAACAAGTCATGAGGCCGAAAAATAACATGACACGTGTGACCTGTGTTAGCTTAATTGGTAGCACGATGGCTTCATACCCAAAGGGTACCGAGTTCGAATCATACCTCCACCCATAAAGCGAAATTCAGCAGTACGACTAACGTTCTTGTATTTATTTAATGTTGAATAAAACAAAGTTAATATTTAGATATAACAAACTAACAAGTCATGAGGCCGAAAAATAACAGAACACATGTGACCTGTGTTAGCTTAATTGGTAGCACGATGGCTTCATACCCAAAGGGTACCGAGTTCGAATCATACCTCCACCCATAAAGCGAAATTCAGCAGTACGACTAACGTTCTTGTATTTATTTAATGTTGAATAAAACAAAGTTAATATTAGATATAACAAACTAACAAGTCATGAGCCGCCGAAAAATAACATAAACACGTGTGACCTGTGTTAGCTTAATTGGTAGCACGATGGCTTCATACCCAAAGGGTACCGAGTTCGAATCATACCTCCAGCCATAAAGCGAAATTCAGCAGTACGACTAACGTTCTTGTA